GTGTCATCTGGATATTAATATGCTTTTGTTAAATATTACTTTGTGTTGGTGGGATATTAGTACTGGTCTGAGTGGATATTAGTCTGGGCATTGAACTCTTTTCTCGTGCTTTCTAAATGTAGTTTGTTGGCTGAAAAAAGACGAATGGAGACTGAATCAGACTACAATGGGAAACAATCGGTTCCCTATATAATGTTGGAGCATAGCCCGATCCTACAACATGCGGCAAAGATTTTTACTTCTAACATACTCAATCGGATACTGACTCGCTTGTACTATCACACTAGAAAGTGCCCAAGTGTAACCACCTACTAATACATAGTATAGTGGGTTTAGATTTAAATGTCAACCCGGGTCCTAGGTGTGATGACTACTTCGTGAAATTCTTATTATTTAGCAGTTCAACTTGAGTGAAGTTCCAACTAAACTAGCAAACAAAAGCAGTAAAGGTTGTGTTCCAAGTTTGAGAGAGGTCACCCAGATACGGTTCCCCCTAGACTGCAGTTAATTCAAGTTGTAATTCACCCAGTCCAGTTCCAAACCCTCTCAATCTGAATCCACAGCGGGCGACTAACCTCCACTGGAGTAAACAGACTGAGGCCCTAACGTACCATACCTCCTCTACTGGAGTAAATCCAGTACAGAATAGTGAACCGACTCCTCGACTAAAGTCATCAACTCCCTACCTTTAATTAAGGGTGCTCTATCAACCTAGGCAGATATTCTCTTTCTATGTCAAAGATGGAACTACAAGAATTTGATCAGGATTCATGCAATTCAGAAAATCATGCCTCAATTGAATATAATCGATATCAAAGAACATGTACTTGGGTTCATACAACCAAACATAACATACAAATCTAGGGTTCTTCATACCCATGTGAGTGAGAGAGATTACTCCATAGAGAGAGAAGAAAAACCAACTTCAGATGCAGAATTCATTCTGTGAAGGATGAAAATCTGCTTCTGGGAATTCTCCAAGCTTCCACCGAGCTCCTTGGAAGTTCTGTTCGTCGCTCTCTCTAGGTTTTCTGCTTTTTTTCTCTAAAAATCGGATCCCTCTCAAAAGAGGCTCATCTTTGCTTAATAAGGGGGCATATCGCGATACCCGGCCTAAATACTCGGTCAGGTATTTCAGGTGACCGGCCGGGTATTTTAAAACGCTGCGCAACGGGAAAGGGAAATACCCGATCGAGGTTAAGAATACCTGATCGAGTATTTAAGCACCACGGTCGGGCCCCCTTCGGGTCTCCTGGCCTCCAAAACAGCAATACTCGGTCGACTCCTTCTCATATACCTGGTCGGGTATTTCAGTGTCTGATCAGGTATTTTTGCCTGAAAGCTCCTCTAGCTCAAATTTTTCACTTTTCGACCCGAAACTCGTTTCCACGCCTTCATATCCACGCCAAGTCCTGAAATATGACATAAACGAACAACCTAGCGTGAAATCGGCCTAAAACACGAGAATCGACTCTCGAACAGTTCAAGAATGGTGGTCAAAACATGTGCAAATAATGGTCTATAAGATACACGAGCAGTATTTGAAACTTGAATCCTATCTAATGGAGAAGCTCTCATATATTAGGGATGCTGGCATGATTGGCTACCGCACATATATGATAGAGGATGGTGAGCGTAGTGATGAGCGTGTCGTTATCATTGATATTTCTACGAGGACATTGGTATGCGAATGCATGATGTTTAGAAATTTCGGAGTGTTATGCCGCCACATGATTAAGGTGATGCGACTTCTTGGAGATTTTGGGGGAACCAATATGAGAAGTATTCCAGATCATTACATACTCAAGCAATGGACGTTGGAGGCGAGAAAGAAAGAAGTTGTTGATGTCGATGGTTCTATTGGTTCTTCAGCTGCTAGTGAGAATGATGCGGAAAAAGGTATAGCAATGCAGTACCGAGAAACCACTGCAATGTTGAATATGCTAGCAACGAACATGTCGATGCCCGATGATAAAGACTACAATAAGTGGACGGGTGTACTCAAGAAACTGTGCAATGTGGCAAACAAGGCATTGTCAAAGACTATAACTAGCGAGGACAGTAAGTGTAATCACTAATATCATGTGTAAATTGTTAGAGTTTAATATTATTGCATTTACTAAATTCTTTAACATTGTAGGACAGACTGTACGGATAACTAGGCTTAATTTGATGGAGAAGAGTAATCCAAGGAGCCAATGTACGAAATACTATCAGTCTACGAATGAAGAGGAACACCGTCGAAAGAAACATGTCTATAGGAAGAGAATGAAATCAATTGAAGTGGTCACGACGGACAATAATACTCAACTGGATGACCATCTTAGTGATTTGGATGATAATATTACTCAATGGTTATGAATAGAATGTAGGGTGGTTCGAGAGTGGTATTGTGATATGATATTGACATGTGATTCCAAGATATTTTTTGTGATGATGTGGATATTAATCTACTTGTAAAAGATACTTGTCTGGGCCAATTGGATATGTAGTCTAATATGTACAGATATTAGTCTAGGCTTCCTGGATATCAGTATTTTCAAAAGCAGGTTCAATAGTACCAATGATTACTTCTTTCACTATTCACATGTGACCTTTTTTGTTACTGTACTCATGTGAGGATTTTTGTTTCTATTCTCTAAGGACATGTTGTTAGAGTACTTCCTTATGACCATTTGTCTATTTAAGAGAAATCATACACAAACCCAAATCGGCTATCCTCCTCCCTCGGTTTATTCTTCACTTCTCTTCCAAAGCAAAATCCATGTCTAGAGAGACTCCTAAACCAGCGCGCCGGGGATTGGTGGATGAGTTCAAATATGATGGTGCTATGCTCTGTTACCATGGTTGGTGAGCCGCTAGATGACTTGTTGTTGATGGAGTCAACCCACTGAAGAGGTATTTCCGATGTCTGATGTACGAGTACGATAATGATAAGGGGTGTGGTTTTCACATGGATTGTGACGAAGTAATGTTCCCCGCTTTTTCAGAGTCGGATGATGAAGATAACAACGAGGAGACCATGAAGAAATGAATTAGTATTTCCTGTCATCACTTTGTATTGTGTTGAGTTTGTTTCTATTTCTGATTCAAAGTGTTATCCATCTTTATCTACTTTTAGCTTGGGCTCCAAGGATATTAGTCTACAAAAAGAAGGGTATCGGTCTAGGCCTTAAGGACATTAGTCTGGGCTCTATTGATATTAGTCTATAGGAAGACGAATATCTCTCTAGGTCTTAGGGATATTGGTCTGGGATTTGCTAATATTAGTCCAAATAAAGTAGGTATTTGTCTGGGATGTAAGGATATTAGTCTGTGCTTTAAGGATATTAGGCTACAAAAAGATAGATATTTACCTTGGAGGTTACAATATATTTTTCAATCATAACTTATGTTGGTAATTATATCCAACATCTGGCAAAATATCCTCCATCATCGTTGTCTACTTATGCTACAAACCATCATCCATCCCTAAATATTATCCAACCCTAAATAGCATACATCCATAAATATTATACAACCCTAAGTTCAGTTTTACAAACCCTATCACACTACACAAATCTAAAATCAACTTCTCTTCCTTTTCCCTTTTTCTTTCTCTTTTTGCGTATTCCAATCTTTTGCACTTGAAATATTGCATCGACGCGACAGTTATAGTCCCATAAAATGAGGTTGGCTGCAATCCGTGCTCGTTGTTCCTTCACATGTGGCTGCTTGTGCCAACTTGCTTTATATTCCACTGGAAGGTGACCCGCCCATAGCTTCATGTAAAGGCATGCAAATACACCGCAATCATCATTGCCTACTTGCTGAGGAACGTCGACAATGTTGAATTTCCACTCATCCAATGTACAATCGACCCCCTGCTCTTTGGGGAATGCTGCCGCATACCCAAAAATAATTTTCGCAACTGGTCAATGATCCTCCTTAGCCACTCAGGCATTGGGCTTTAGGCTGTCGAGTAGGGAAGTCTTCCTATTCTTCATGTCAGCCACGTACACCCGGTAATGATCATTTAGATACATTAGAAAGAAGATCTAAAACACAAAGTAGTTAGTGAGTTAATCATTGACTAATATCCTAACAACCCACATTAATATCTCAACAACCTAGAATAATATCCTATAAATCCAGACCAATATCAAGGAAAATCCGAAAAAAATCCAAACACTGAAGACACTTACGTAATCACATCTTTCCAAGTTTTCCCATTTCAGCATTAGATTCCTTTTGTGCATAGAAATATACGCATGGAGTTTCGCCTTGTCCATGGGTTATTTTTTAATAACATTATTGACGAGATGTTTCTATTTAGAAGAGACAACAATATCAAATTAGACATTTTCAATATAAATAGAATCTAAGTAGTGAAGATAATACTTACTACATAGCTCCATGGAAAGACAATTCTCTTCACCACCTCCTTGCATACTCCTTTGTCATTTAGGAATTGCCTGTATACTACAAGTACTTGGCTATGCACCCAATTTTTGCGCTTCAATGAAAGTAGCTGGTAACGGGTAAGGTTACTGGTTGGAGTATCCACGACAAAGTTGCCACTGTAAAACACAAATGAAAATCATGTTAGTAATGTGTTTTGGATAGATTGAAATTGGTGATTAAATAAATTATAATGAAAACTTACTCGTCTTTAGCAGTGGTACTAAAGATGTACCTAACCACTTGCAAAGCCGTATCGTCGAGTTTCGTCGACAGAGTCTTTGGCAGGACGTACATTGATTCGCTGAATGGGTGGTGTTTTGACCTCTCGAACTCTGGAGTTTTAGGGTTGCCTTCCATGCTTCCGGTGTGATAGAGTGCATAAACTCTGCCTCCTCCTCATTCCTACTTCTCTCACCTATGATAATATCATCGTCGCTATCCTCCACCCTGTCACATGCTGTTGCTATAAGCTCCTCCTCTTATGGTCTTGCTTCTCTTTGTGTTAGAACCTCAGTAGAAGGATCGGCCACCGTAGTCAGAGATGTTGAGATACTCTCCTAAGCAGCAGTTGTTGCCTTGACAGGTATCTGCAAAACATTGCCAAAGGTGCGACCATCGTCCCTAGCTAGTATCTACTCAAAAAGAAACAAATATCCTGGCAGCCCAGGCTAGTATCCACAGAAAAAGAAACGAATATCCTGGCAGCCTAGGCTAGTGTCCACAGAAAAGGAAACGAATATCCTGGCAGCCCAAGCTAGTATCCACAGAAAAAGAAATGAATATCTTGGGTCTTGGCAACCCAAGCTAGTATCCACAGAAAAAGAAATGAACATCATGACAGCCCAGGCTAGTATCTACGAAACAAGAAAAGAAGAAACTGGAAGCCCAGGCTAGTATCTACCGGTAAGGGAAATATTACCATAGTCGGAGATGTCTCGATACTCTCTTCAGCAGCAATAGTGGTCTGGAAAGCAATTTGCATCACATCATGGAATGTTGTATCCAGGTCGGTATAATGTATGGCGATAGGCTGGACAATTGACTCCGACACCACCACTTTATCAAATGTCGACACAATGGCCGACGACTCCATCTGCTGAACTACCGGATCAAACACAATGGCCGGTGACGAAGACTGCTGAAATACCGGATCAACAATAGTATCCATCACCTCGGGCTCAAGAAATGACTCCGGCTGCACCACTTCCCCAATAGTGGACTTAACGACTAAGTCAACCACGTCATCAACTGTCGATGTAACGGCTGGCACCTCCAACTCCTGAACAACTGGCAACACTGTCTTCTTACGTCCTTTCCTGGAGTACATGCGGCTAAACATGTTGTTGCCTCTCACGGTACCTTGACTAACCTCCTCCTCCATGACAACTACCGGATCTTCCTCCTCCAAGACAACTACCTCCTCTTCCATTTTTGCTTTTACTGCTGCTACTAAAGACGAAGAAAATACTGCCAATCTGCCCCAATTCCTGTCAAGCTCAACATCCACAAGGCTGAGCTGGAAAACGGGTGCAAGCATATAAACATTATTATCCAGAATGCCCAGATAAGTATCTAACAATTAAGCAACAAATATCCAGAAAACACAAATTAATATCTGCTTGTGAAAGATTTAATATCCTAAAGTTTTGTACTAGTATCCTGAAAGCCCGGACTACTTATGTAGTAACTAGGCTTTAAGGAACTATTAACATGTGCTTTCATTACAATATCCATAATGCAAAAATATCCATAATGAAAAAATATCGAGATTGAAAATAACTACTACCTGATATAAAAACAACTGTCATTCATGCAATTCAAAAATAATATCCAAAACCAATACACACCAATATCCGAAATCAAAAGAAAACAAACTTTTGTTCGATACAACTATTGTTCAAAGCCATTCCAACATGGCAATTATAACATCCTATCAAGAAACATTACAACCCCTTAAATAGAAGAAACATGCAAAGTTCAGTTATTGTCTTGCTGGCGCTTAATGGCAACCCTTCAGACACTTTCCCGCCATGAATCCCACTTATGCATCACTTTTTCAGTGAAAGACTGAAGTGCCTTAAGCTACACATACTGATAGACCGTTAATTACACATGTTTTCACCCCTGTTCTTACACCGTTTAAGATGTGGTTTCTCGTGTTTTAGACCGATTTCACGCTAGGTTGTGCTTGTTTGTGATGTTTCAGGTCCTGGCAAATGAATGAAGGTTTAGGAGCGAGTTCGGGGTCGATTGGGCGAAGATCGGGGGCGAGGCAAGTCACAAAGGAAGTCTCACGGGCACACCCACAACCCGCACGGCCGTGCAAGTGACCAGTTTGGCCGTGTGGGATTGTGCGAGAGCAAACACGGGCAGAGCAGAAAATCCACACGGCCGTGCAAGTGACCAGTTTGGCCGTGTGGAATTCTGCGAGGCTTCACACGGCCAGGCTGGGTGAGCTACACGGCCGTGTGACCCTGGCCGTGTAAGAAGCCTGGAATTCAACTAAGTGATACGCTGCGTTTTGACTCACACGGGCAACTGGGTGAGCCACACGGCCGTGCGGCCTGCCCGTGTGAGTCGGGATTTTCTGGTTTTAAGCCAATTTCCAGCCACAAGTCGGGGGGATTTGAGTTTTAGATAGACAGAGCGATTCCTAGAGAGAGAAAGAGACGAACAAGAGTCTACAAGTGCCCTAGCCTGATCTTCAACACCATTGGAGGCCAGTTCGAGCTTGGAGAAGTGCCGATCAACGTCCAGGACCAGGAATCCATCCTTCACAGTATGAATTCCGCATCTGATTCTGCTTTTGCTTCTTTCTCCATGGAGTAGTTCTCCCATTCATCTGGGTATGGAGAACCCTAGATTTGTATGTTAGGCTTTGATTGTATGAACCCAAGTACTGATTCTATGATTTGATTATATTCGATTGAGGTTTGAATGATTGAATGACTTGAATCCTGATCAAATTCCTGTTGTTTCTGTTTTGACCTAGAATGAGAATATCTGCCTAGGTTGATAGAGCATCCTTGATTGAAGGTAGGGAGTTGGTGACTTTAGTCGAGGAGCCAACTCACTATTCTGTACCGGATTTACTCCGGTAGTGGAGGTTTTGTTTGTTAAGGCCTCAATCTGTTTACTCCGGTGGAGGTTAGTCGCCCGCTAGAGGCTCAGATTGAGAGGGTCTGAAGACCTTTAGTCGAGACTTCAGGCTGTTTAAGAACCTTCCGCAGTATAACTATCATATAGAAACTGAACTTGGTAATTACAATCCGGCTTAACTGCAGTCTAGGGGGAACCATATCCGGGTGACCTCTCTTAACCTGAATACAACTGTTTACTTGCTTTGTTAGTTTGTTAGTTTAGACTTGCATTAAAGTTTCATTGCTAGATAACAAGAATTCACTGAGTAGTCATCAAATCTAGGACCCGGGTTGACATTTAAACCCAAACCCGCTATACTACGCTTTAGGAAGTGGTTTCACTTGGCCAATTCCTGGAGTGACAGTAGAAGTGAGTCACATACATTGAAAAAAATTTAGTTTACTACATGCACTCATGTCTACTAACCCACGATTTTCATTTTAAAAGACAATCATCTACATACCTCGTCGGGCTAAAGGGATTCCAGGTCTGTTTCCTCCCACCATTCCGTCGTGTAGAACTGTGGAGAAGCTGTAGGAGGAGTTGAGCTGCTTGTTCCTTATTCTCACTCCCTCCTAACACGTCCCGGAAAGAAGCGAGATCAGACTTCTTCTCTCGATAGCAACACGGGAGCCACATCATATAGCTCCGCCTTGGGGACAGCCAAGCATAGGTTATCCACCCTTGGTTCGAACCAATAGCTGCAACTAGGGATGGTATTTGTGGCGAATCCTCTGAGCATAAGGAAGTCCATCAAATGAAGCTAAAAAAATGTGTATGTTAGACAAGATATCCCAATAAAACAACCATTATCCAGGCAACCCAGACTAGTACCCAGTCATGCTAAAAGCATACATTGTATTAAAATAACTAATATCCCAAGAATGCTAACAAATATACACAACTTTAAACTATAACTTACCATCAAGAAGTGGATATCCCCATTAACCCACTGCATCATTTGTCCCTTCGCCCTAGCAGCAACTTTTCTTTTTTTGTAACAAACAGCTCTACCTTCAGCTCCCGAGCGACATGACCAGTCCTATTAAAAGTTTGAATGTCCTCAACCCTCCCTGCCAAGTACTCTGCATAGTCGAACTTACAAATCTGGGAGCTTGTTGGAACGAGCAACGTACCAAGAGCCACAAGTAGGAGCTGCTTCACTACAACTGCAATAGGTGATCTCCTCCTCTCTTTCCCCCGACCTTTAGTCGCCTTAGTCAACTCCACAACTTTAACATTTCGTTCCCGATTACCCTCCATGCCGAGCTCCTCTTTAAGAACCTTGAACATCGACTGATTAGCCTTCACAAGGTCAATCTCAGCACCACCAAGAGGAATGCCGAATACACGGGCAACATCCTCATCTTGGATGGTGAGCACCTGTTGCAGGTCACATGAACAAAGAGCAATGAGCCAAAAGGTCAAGCATACAACAAATAATCCAATAAGCATACAACAAATGGTGAGCACATTCTTGTTCTCGCATGCACCAAAAATGAAGCTGTTGGTGCACATGTCATAATGTGCCATCAAGGTAGGCAACATCTCCTTAGGAACATTATCCAACCGAAGCTCAAATAGGCCTCCAAATCCAACCTTCTCGATCTCTCTCTTGCAAGCATGATAGTATCGTGGATCTTGCTTCCAGTCTTTTATAATCGACAACACCTTCTTGGTGCTACAACGAAATCTGTATCGGCGCCCTCCTCCTCCTCCTTCAGCAACTTCTTATCATTTTCTTCGTCCAGATCGTCTTGGTCATCACTATCTTCGTGCTCAATTTCTGCATCCTCAAAATCAAATTCTTCTTCCTCATCTTGCTGTTGTTTTTTAGCACGTTTAGGCCTCAAGGTTTCGCCTTCTGTTCTGGTCCTCCTTGCTGCAGTAGCTTTAGTTCTTGCCATTGTGATTTCCCTGCACAGTAGAATATCCAAATTCGTCAAACAACTATCCAGGCAATTCACAACTGATATCAAGTTCGACCAAAACCAATATCAACGTAGGAATCTCCAGATATACCAAACAGATATCCAGGCAAATGAAAACTGATCTCCTACTTGACCAGAACTAATATCGGATCCCAGATACACAAAACCCAGAACACAAGCAACCCAGATCCAGTCAAATCATCAAAAATTAAAACCGGGTTACCCAAAAGCGTAACCATGCACACCAAGGCAATACCCAAACCCGTCAACACTCGTATCCATCAACCCCACCGAACCCTAAACCAAAAAAAAAAGATTCACACGACCATGAAAACGAATCCCAGACATCCAGACAAACCCCAACGAACCATTAACAAGCCGAGCCAGCCAAAACCCCCAATCCATGAAACCCTAAATACTATCCATGCAAAACCTATACGAATCTATGAAATCTAACACTCTTAAGTACGAATGAAGCAAGGGGAAGGCGCATACCTTCTCGGCATAGTCCTTGTCTCGCTGTCGTCACCGTCGCACTGCTGTCAAAGCTGCCATCACAGCTGTCGTGGCCACCATCCTCGCCACTACAGTCAAAGTCGCTCTCTACAATAACCAACACAGTCGTCGTCGTTTCCTCGCGCCACCGTCGCAGTTGTTGGCGACGTCGTCGCACACCGGATCGAGTGAGGAAAGGGAAAGGGAGAGGGAAACAAACGCTTTTTAGAGAGGGAGGGAAATACCGAATGTCGGAGAAAGATCAGATGGGGGAGCATTTTGGGTATAAAAAATTTGAAATTGGGGGCCCGGCGGGCCCATTTTCTTTCCAGTGGGTTTGGCCCAGTCGATGGACTCGACTCTTCTCCCTCACATACTGACGCATTTTCTTCTCCACTGATGGATGGCGACTTTGCGACGTGAAGATCCATCCGGCCCTCTTAGTATCTCCTAACAAAAAACCCTTTTAGGAGGATAACTAAATCAGAGCCAACGAGGCCAATTAAAAAAAGATTGGTCAATATTAAGGTTTGACCAACCGAAAAAATAAAAACGGGCAATCAATTGGAAAACGGAGATAATAAAATGAAATTTGAAATCTCGTTTTAAAATCTGGCAATTCACGTTTTAATATATGTTTTTGGGGTGGGTGGGGTGCCGATTCTCGCTCTTCACTTACCTTATTTCAAATCCAGAGATGTTCCTTTGTGTCGCAGTCCCAAGTTATTGATCCATCCGCCAAATGCCAATCCCTCCTCTTATATCCGCCATTTCCAAAACCCTCTCACTCCTTCCTGCAACAAACTTAGCAACCAGAATCAAGAGCTCTCACCATTTAGTTCCTTTCTCCAGTTCTCACCAAAAAACAAACAGCTAAAGGAATTCCTCTGGTTCTTCCATTTCTACCTTTCCGTCTATAATATATCTATTCAAGTAGTTTTGTCTTTGTCCTGTGCCTTCCCCGGTTGGTCTCGCAATCCCGCCCATGGCCACGTCGGCCTTCAAGTCCACCACCAGGAGGACTGCCATCGGCGACGACTCTCCCTCTTCCTCCAGCCGTAGCAGCGGCGGCACCTCCTCCTCTCTTCACCGGCGCTCCAGGAGTCTCAGCCGATTCTCCCGTCCTGTCCCTCCTCAGCCCGACGATTTCTCGGACGATGGGGCGCCCCCGAGGGGAAGGTTCGTCAACACCATGAGGGGATCCGGCGTCCCCGAGGTCACCCTCGATGATCTCGATGTTCGCTTCTTTAGCTCTGGCCGGACGCCATTGGCTCCTTCCCGAAACGACGACCCCGCTGATAGGTCGCAGAGGAGAGGGAGGTCGGTTTCCAGGTACGGCTCGCGGACTTCCCTCGGCGATTCCAAGGGCGGTGGCGTCTCGGAGGTACGGAGCGGTCGCGCTGGGGTTAGGGCGGGTTCGGAAGCTAATTCGAGGAGGCGGCGGTCAGTTTCGGTGGTTCGCTACCAAATCAGTGATTCTGAGGTCAGCGAATTTTTCTTTTGTTGCTGCTGCTTTTCGGTTTGAATTGGTTTTTAATTTCTTATGAATTGATTAGTGGGACAATGCCTGTGATGGAGACCCTGCAAAAGGAGTTTTTGCTTCTCACTCGCTTTTTAGTTGTGTTATATACTTTGCAAGTTTTATACCCCTAATACCAATGATCAAGGTGTAGCTCAAAAGAGAAGTGATGTTGATGATCTGGTGTTGTCACTTCTGATTAATAGAATTTGGGAAAGCAACCAAATAACGGACTGTGAAAAAGGATATGTTGGTGAAAATGAACAGTTTGATATTGATACTATGTGGGTTCTCCTCGCTTTTCATCTAAGAACCTGCAATCGAAGCTTAAACAATGTTATGGCCTTATGGGGGTATGTCACAGGCTGTGGAAAAGAATTAGTCTTTAAATTGTGCTCTTGTGTTTTTGTTCCTGAAATTAGCAGAGTGATTTTGATCATTCTCATCCCGGCAATCGCACTGGTTTGAAGAGTTCTTCCAATGGCGGAAAAAGCAGCATGACTCCCTCAAACACAGCCAGTTCTAACCAAAGACCAGGTCTTAGAAGGTCGCTCAGCCAGAAGGATTTGAAACATCATGATGGTTATTCTGTGAGTGTTACTACTCAGCTCTAACTTGTCCAATTTGAAGTGTGAATTTGAGTCGTCACATCAGGGAAAACAACCTTTTTAATAAGAGCCAAGATCCTAATCTGCTTATTTGTAAGCGTGATAAAGTGTCAATGTCTCTCTCTTTCAGAGCCACTCCTCAGTTCTGACTGATGATGAAGCAAGGGATGGCACGGATGCTTATTCTAATAGGAATGGGATCGAGAAGACGATACGGGCTGTTTATGCACAGAAAAAGGTGGGATATATTTCTCTTGAAAGGCTATGTCCAGTATGAGTGATCTCTCAAGCAAATAAAAACAGATTTGAGTAGCAGTTACAGGAGCCTTCGCTTCTATTGTGAATGGCTCCATATAATCTGTACTTCCATTTGGAGCCAATTGAAAATCTCTTGTTGCCAATTGTTTAAACTATTTAGGGCGAGCATCCCATTGGCGAAGACATGAACAGTGGGCTATATGAAGCAATGCGAAAAGAACTTAGGCATGCTGTTGAGGAGATCAAGCTGGAACTTGAACAAGTCTGTACATTGCTTTTCCTAAAAATAGATTGGCATTAATTTTTTTTTGGGAAAATTACATTCATAATGCTGTTTTTGTTTGATAAGACTAAATCACATCATTTTTGCCTGTGCAGGCAATAGGGAAGAATGATACTTCTGCTTTGCCAAGCAATGACTCCACGCGTGCTGTTTCTGCAATCAGAAGGAATTATGCGACAAAAATGGAGAAGGCATGAATTTTGTTCAACTTAATCCTGCTTTACTTACATTAGGTTGCTTCTTTGTGTTGAGTGGAATTCCTTCATGCAAGTCTCATTCGTTTGTTTCTCCTATTCACAGTCTGAAAGGCGCAAACAAGACTTATTAGCTGAAATTCTGAAGGAGGAACAACATGGAAGGGAACTCTCTAAAATTGTGAAGGAATTACTCCCCGACCCGAAGGACAATGTTGCAGAAAGGCCTTTGCGAACCAGGAAGGTATGATGAGTACTTCATACTTATTGATGGCATGCGAAAGTTCCATGTGCTTGTTCATTATTTGTGTGTGTAATCTTATACATAATATGTTACCAAGACTTTTGCTGTCAAATTTCTTTCCAGAGGAGCAATGATAGAACCAGGATGTCCAAGAGATTGACTGAGGAAGCTGAGAAGTATATTGAGGATTTCATTTCAAACATTGAGGACACCGACATTTCATCTATAGATGGTGAAAGGAGTGATACTAGTTCAAGTTTAGTAGGAGCTCCGAAAACCGAAGCTTTGCAAAGCCTGGCAGTCTCCAAGTCTCGTCCTGTTGAAATGGATGGGGTGGTCCTGCCGTGGTTGCAGTGGGAAACTTCAAATGATGCTTCCTCCCCTTCATTGTTGAAGATGAAGGACACTCCAACGATCCAATCATGGGAACCAGCTCAGGTAAACCATTCCTCACATTCCATTTGGAAATCAAATATAACCTTAGGATTGCTTTCCTTGGATTATCTTGCCAAGCAGTTGTAGCCTTGCATCGTTAAGAGTAAGGCTTCGGTAGAGACACTGATCCTTCATAAACCAACTTTTTTGGGTCTCTCAAGTCTTGTTATTTTTTTTTTGTATATGATGTAATGTAGCTGAACTCGACCCCTGGGCAAGATTTAAGTAATTGTTCTGCCAGCAGTCATGGTAGTTGGAATCCAGGAGTAGCAGACTGCCACTCATCAAGCATTGCTGAAGCTAAAAGTTACCGCAGCAAACTCTCGTTGGGTGATACAAGGGGCTTGACACTAGACATGGATGAGTATCTGAAACTTCCAAGTGAAGAAGATCTTCTGTTGGAAAGATGGATGCTACAGCACAGAATTCATGCAGGCAATCTCCTGCTGTGCGGACACACGTTCTTGTAGATCCCAATCCACTTCTTTGTGCAGAACTCTTGGCCGTTACTCTATGTTTCTTTAAGCCGACTAGTCTTACTACGGCAGCTGCAGTGGGTATATTCATACATTTGGAGTTGTAGAAGCTAAATTTCCTCTGCCAATAGACAGTTTCCTTTTGTAGGTAGTTTCAGTCGTCCAGAGCGCTTATGATGTAGGGTACGGGCGGGATGGTGATCAAAAAGAATCAGTAGCAGTAAGTTCTAACCCAACCACAACTGAAGTCTTTTTGTTTGTACGTGGTGGTTTGCTTGAAATTGGATAAAAGATTTGTCATCCAAATCGCAAGCATCATGGATTTGTTGAAGCTATGTATGTTGATTGTGTGCGGTTCAGGTTAATGGGAATGGAATGTCGAGGTTTTATGATAACAATTTCGAGCCGGGAGAACATTGGAATCAACAATGCACTAGAACGCCCATTTTGACGATCCTTTACTCGGACAATATTTATGGTTCCTCATAAAATAAGGGTAGTAAAGGTTTATGATAGGGTTAGTAACTATTGGTTACTAACCTATGAGTAACTAAATCTGGACCTTTAGATTAAGTGAGTCTAGAAAATTCAGATCTAAGAGTTGTCAATTAAAGACATTTTATTTTCCATAGTTTTCTTAATCGACTCTTATCTTCTTCGTTCTAACTCGAATTTCAATATTTTTTGCACAGATGGAACGAGTTCGTTGTGCTCTACAATATGAGATCAATTTTCAATAAATTTCGAGAAACTTTTTTTTTACCAACTACATACCATATGGTAACTTCTTCGTTTCTAAGTCGTTTTGAAAACGTTTGCTCAGAAGGAACGAGTTCATCATGATCTATTGGATCTATAAATTTCTGGGTGAAAAAATACTAGATAAAAAATTACCATACTTTACCACTAAAAATTATTCAATTTTTTTTTACTAAAAATATATCAAAGTGGATATCATTTTGAAGAGCACATTTAATCTGATTTATCTGTGCAAAAAAAAAAAAATCGACTTAGAGAGAGAAATCGTCCGTTAAAGATTAAATGAGAAAAATAAAAGACTTTACAGGAGAGAGAGGATAGTGATGTCATACTGATGTGGACAGGTTACTCATGGTTACTCATTATTGAGTTACTGACCTGATCCGTTCCCGTAAGGAAAATTACCCTTTAAAGTGATAAATCCATAATCCTAAAATCTATCAACAAGCAAACAACATGCTTTTGAAATTTATAATGAACCAATTCCAAAACCATCATTTTCACATTCATTAAGCAAACAATCTCTGTATTTCGTTCTAGAGAGCAAAGCACACCAAGAGATAAATGCATGAGGCAGGTACCTCTGTTTAGTGAATAATGTCTTTTCGTTTTAATTTGAGTTGATGCTAACATAATTCATTAAGAATATTATAGTAACTACTCACTTACTCATAGCAGCTCCATTCCCTCTTCGTCCCGTGGATTTCGGTTATAGTTTGGTCACTAAATTTAATAATTTTTTTTGATTTAGTACCTAATTTTTTTGCACGTCCTTAAAATAATGATGACAAATGACATTTTAGTACCAATATTTTTATATCTTAAATTTGATACATGAACTTTAAAAATTTACAAATGGCTACATGTTTATAAGGTTTTCGGTATGTTTTACGAAACTTGTGGTCTGATTTTAATAAACATGTGGTATGCTTAATGAGGTTTCTGGTATGCTTCATGGAACTTGTGGCCAAATTTACCTAGTAGTAAACTAGGATAGTATTTCCCTAAGGCCTCCCACAACCACTTACTCACATAGTGAGGGATGTATTTTATGGTGTTTGAAATGAGGTGGAGGTCCCTGATCGGGTCTAATTATACACTTTTTACCCCCGTTTCGCTTTGACGTTTGTTGCAATTGAACTCCAAAAAGGGTGGGTTTACGCGAGGTTTCTTGTGTTTAAGATCCTAACAGGTGAAACCAACCCCGGAGTCGGAAGTTGGAAGAAAAGGAGCAAAGATCGGGCAAAGGGGAGGTGACATCCGCAGTTCATGATCTGCCATGGGAGTTCACGGTCTTACAGGACCATGAACTGCAAGCACGATCCGTGAACCAAGGCCGTGAACCCCAGGAAGTGAAGCGGTGCGTTTTGGTTCTTACACTGAGTTCACGGACGCGTTTCGATGTTCACGGTTGTGAACTGGGCTCGATCTCAGTTTAAAGAGCCATCTGAAAGGAAGAAGAGAGAGAGAACTAGTGTGAGAAACTTCTTCTTCTTCTTCTTCTTCTTCTTCAGATTTTAGAGTGAGAAAGTGATGGACCGAAGAAGAGGAGAAGCTAGGGTTTCATCAAGCAAGGATTTGGGAATTCCTTCCCCAAAGGAGGATCTCTTCAACACAACAAGCAAGGCTTTCATCTTCTTGATGGTTTCCCTTTCCCTCTCTTGTGTTTTCCCTTCTCCTAGCATGGAGTAGTCCATTCTTTCACTTGGATGTTTGTAAACCCTAGCTATAATTATGTGAATGCTTGTAATAATTGAATGATTTGTGTGTGGTTGTGGTTAATGTGAATATGGAGGTATTTTTCATGATGATCGTGTGTGCTTTGTTGACCTAGCTTAGAGAGGAGACCTCCTTAGGTTAAGAGGCCCAATTAGAGATGAGTGTTCTTGGGCATTGCATGCCTCCTAGGCTAGTTTAGAGAGGAAACCTCATTTATCCGAAGAGTCTCAATTTGAGCTGGGTTTCCTTGGGCATTCAAAGCCTCCTAGACTAGTTTAGAGAGAACTCTCCTTAACCTAAGAGGCTATTAGAGATGGGTTTCTATGGGCATTTCATGACTCCTATTCTAGGTTAATTAAGGGAAAACCTCATGTTTCGTATTAGCACTTAGGGTTTGGTTGTGGGTGGCCGTCCGAACTCCAATTCGAGGGTGAAGTCTAACCATTCCTTAGTCGATAGGTTGAGAGGGTCGCATTTGCTGCTTGGATCATATCCCATTTCCACAACCTAGAGACTAAGAGGGTAGCCTTGGTTACTTGTTAGACTTCCCTGCGATTTATAACACCCTAACCACACGCGGTCGTTCGATTCTTCAAGTTGTAATTGTTAGCTAAGGGGAGCCAAACCCAGGTGAAGTCTTCTCAATTAGTGTCAAATCCATTTTACCTTTGGAAAGTACTTTAGTTTTAAAACTTTGTTTTCACCAAAAACTAATATGCTAGATAATGTTTCAAACAGTCGAAGTAGCGGTACATGGGCCGGCCCGAGTCAATATTTAAACATACTTGCCCTATATTGCACCCATCTAAGCTTTATACTTGGGCCTTATGTGGAATTTTATTGTGATAGTCAGAGCGAGTCATTTCCTCTAGTTTTACAATAAAAACTAAATGAAAAAAATGCAGAAAAGAAAACCTATACTACTTTGGACGAGGAATACAAAAGGGAAATACATTTTAACTCATGACCTATTACATACTCCCACCGTAGGCCAAGTATAATCCTAAGATAGGTGTAGTAAAGAGAAAGTACTTTTTCAATTATCGAACCTAGGCGGTTCGTCTACCTGATAAAACCTAAACTGGTGTTATTTATTCTCATAATGTGGTTTATTTCATGTCAATTCATGTGCATAATCGTTTGAATAGTGTCGATTGCATCCCTATTTCGTTCCTATTTGATTATGATGTGATTTTAGGGTGCTTTTGACAATACATGAGAATTAGGTAGGAAAAAGGACACAAGTGTAGAAAAAGGGGCAGAATGCTGATGATCGTGGCCCAGAGGTGGAGATCACGGTCGGGAACAAAGACGACAAACTCAAGGCAAAGATCCCCGCCACGATCTCGGAGGATGAGGGCGTAAACTTCATGAAGAAGCCAACGAGTAGAAACAAAGAGTTTCCACAGTGCGTTCACGACCACAATTCATATTGACCGCGAGGAAGTTCGCGGCCGCACTTCACGAATCGCGACCGTGAAGTTAGCCTGCAAACTACTCATGCATGAAGGCCAAAACGGCGGAGGCGGCAGATCACAGCCTCGAGGTGGAAGATCGCGGCAGGGATCTTCATGCTATTCGACCGTGAACTTATCCGTCCTCTGAAGGCTATAAATAGAAGACCCCTTCACCTATTGAAGGAAGGAGAAGAGGAGAAGAAGGAGGAGCTAGAAGAGAGGAGCCATATTCCTCAACATCAAGTCTTCCCCAATTTCTTCTATGTATCTTCTTCCCTCCTTTATGGAGTAGTTCTTTAAGGTACTAGGGGTTCTAAACCCCAAACCCTAGTCCAAGGGTTACTATGTAATGAATGGATATCTTAGGGTTCTAATGAATGAATGTGTTTATCTATTTGATTTCATTGATTATCTAGCTTTGATTGTGTTTGAGCAAGTTTCCCTATTATTCTCTACTAGCCTAGTTGAGCTTCTACTTTGGGTATGGAGTTTTAGGGTTAGACGGGTTTGCGCCATCAAGCAAATTGAGGTTAGATGTATGAATATGATCCTATGGTGGACGAGGCGATCTTACCCCTGCCATAGGAATGCCTTCCTAGATAGACCCCGGGATAAAACCTCGGTGTGGACGGTGGGTAGTAATCATTGAAAGGAGCTATGTGCTTAATGCCTTAGATACGATAGCATAGATCGAGGTGACTGACATGGGTTTAGGGGAGGCGTACTCGAAGGCATGTGGATAACCAAGAAAGCCAATGGAAAAGAGCTCACTCACCACATTCGACAAACCCTATTTATCTAGACACTGCATAGTATACCTAGGCTAGGGTGAGGGATAGTTCCCCGAAGTACCTGCTTTTACCCTTATTTGTTCTCTTTACTAGTATTTCGTTTCAATCCTCCATCACAAACCTTTAAACCGATCGGATAGATAATAAAAACATGGGAAATAGGATAGGGTACTGAGACCCGAGTGAATACGACCTTGATTGCCAGTTGCCACTATATGACAACGCCACTCTAGGTTAAACTTGGTCTAGGATGGGGTAGTTATGGAGACGTGCTAACTATTGACAATGACTTGCACGGATTGAATCGATCAAGCTTTTTGACACCGTTGCCGAGGAACCTTGGTAACTAGTAGAAAACCATCGAGGTTTTATTTAGACTTTATTTTATTTGTTTGTTTTTGTCTTATTTCCATAGTTTTTATCGTTTTGTGTTTTGTTATCCAACTTTGTACGTAACGGGTTGTAGAGTTTCTTGTGTGAATAGACTTTCCCTCATGGACCGAAATGAGTTGGAACGTATTGCGAAGGAGACCATCTCTACACTCAATTTCAGGGAGGGAGTGATAAGAGTGCTCTCGATCATATGTCTTACTTTCTAAAGGCCACCAAAGTTGTGAGAGTACCGGGATTCACTCAAGATCAGATTAATGGTGTTTTCTTCATTTACACTGCGAGGGGAGCCCACCATCTGGTATAAGGAGTTTCAAGCTATTA